ATCTGCAACTTCCCCAACCGTCCATGGTCCCGCCCTCGCCCCTGCCCCTACCGCAACCTCTCCCCTGTCCCCTACGCGTTCTCACATGTTTTCTTATCAACCCTACTCCCTCCCGACCGCTGTCGGAGGTTCGAATTCTGCGAATGGAGCCGCCGCGAAGCGCAAGCGCCTTCGGACAAAGGTCGAGGTCCCGCCTCCCTCCCTTCCTTCGGAGGAATCATCGGTACGTTTCCCTTTTTTCATTTTGTATATATATAGCCGTTCCTTTATTGATCATTAAACAAATCTCACAGTATGGCGAATATGCGCCGGCGATGCAGAATATGGATGCGAATGCCCATTATTACACAGGGCAAGAATCTGGCATTGAATACAGCTCCTACGATGGCGCGCACATGCAACATGTGCAACCTGGATTCGGAACCATGTCTGTGACGCCTCAACTTTCGGTCGGCCCGAGCTCGAATCCGAGCTCACACACCACTCCTCCCTTTTCCACCGTCGATCCCAACGTCGCCAGTGGACGAGCGGCTCAGCATCCTCAAATGGCTCATCCGAACGCCGTTTCCGCCATTCTCGAACCCGTCGCTGGTCAGCACGACATTTTCGAGTTTAGCGGTCTCGACGCCAACAATCTCCTCGGGCAAATGGAAATTGCGATCTCGCTTCCTGACGATTTCCTCGTGGACGGACTCGGATTGGGATTGGGTGAAGGTGGCTTCAACTTTGATGGTGCGGATTCTGGTGGAGGGTTTGCAGAGTTTAGCAATCTCGCGTCGTTTGATGGATTGGGAAATAGCTCTGGAGATTCTGGTGTCAACTTTGGTGATTACTCGATGATGGACAAGGGTCTCGTGGACCCAAATGCCCTGAGTCTGAACGAAGGCATGCCATCTCAACACTATCCTCCTCCGTCCCTCCATATCAACACTCAGTTTACTTCCGATCCGTCTACTATCCCAATGTCTGCCGTTTCCGAGCAGTTTAATGTCACGTCTCCCTCTCAGCCATCTGCTTCGGATGGCAACTTTTATGGTCCCTTTGCCCATCA